TTTTCTTAACTGTTCTGTCAAGAACTGGTATTTCTGTCTTTGTTCACGAACACGTCGTGGGACCTGCTTTAATATCACAATTTCTCAACCCTTATAAATAATCTTCTGATCCCTGGCGCCCTGATACAATTCTTCTCTTAACGATTTTTTGCTGAATCGTATGTGTATTTCTCGAGGTAATTTATTCCATCTAGTATAATTTGTATAGACTCGGTAAACTTCGTCTATATCGCACTGTACCAATTCCTTCTCTCTCCCAAGTGCGCCAGCTACTATTTCCCTGATTATGTCTTCAAGCTGTTCGTCCTCCACTTCTGTCACATTCTGAAATCGGAGATAGAAGGCAGCGTGATCCATCTCAAGGTGAATTATCTCCCCTTCTAATTCTCAATTCTCTTGCATTAATCGTGCTTCACATCTGTCCATTTTACTCTTTGATTTCTCCATTTTTGTTTCTACTCGATCAAATCTTTGTTCATGGGCCACTAGTGTTTCTCAAACTTCCTCATATTTTGAATGGATATGCATAATTTCCTGTTTGATACTTGCCATTTCTTCCTGCACATCTTCAAACTTTTTCATTGTCTGTTCCTGATTCTTTGTAATAGTGTTTTGTATCATCTGTAACATATTTTGAAGTTCCTGTCCTCTGATCCCTTTTTCTGGGCGTCTTAGATCATCCGCCGATCCTCTTAATGCTGGGGATGTCGCCGTTGGAGTAGGCACTGATGAAAGGGTCAAGACCTTCTTCTTCATCACTGTCGACATAATTGCAAGCTTCCACCACCTACCCCATTCTTGCATACACCAACTCTTTGTCCGAAAGGGTTACAAAATAATTCCAGTGTCAGGAACCAAAGATTCAATTCTCTACCTATAGTAAAGGAAGAGTTGCTATTCCATCTCTACCAATCCAACTTTACACGATAATATCTATTTTTTGATATATAATATTAACTATAATCTTTTATCAATTTGTCAGAGTATATTCAATTACACATATCTTAAGCAATTAGTTCTATCTCCAAAGATTCTTGTAGATCAGACTGATGAATCAAATAATCAAATCAAATCAAATATATCTAATATATCTAGTAAGGGAAAGGTTAGATAGATAGACAATGCTTAATTAATCAGATGGTCAATTGATCCAATAATCAATCAATTATATATATATATCAATACTATCAATTATATATTATTACTCAGTTCAATCCCCAAACACCAAAAATCAAGTATACTGCCAGAAATTGAATCAGCCAAAAATCTTCTCCTTTGATATTGCGCAGTAAATTTCCAAGTCGCCACAAGGTGGTGCTATTGCCTCAGTCTCAGTTAAATCAGATCTTCTTGCTTCTTGTCACAGCGAGGCTCTGTCCATTCAACATTTCCGGAAGAACTCAAAAATGCAAGTCATGATGGCTCCTTACTCACAGTCAAATCCAAGCAAATCCAGCTAAAGAGAGTCCCAGAATTTTCCACGAGGCACTTCAGTCACAGCACTCTTGGAAACACCCTCGCCAATCTTCTCAAAAGGCCGTCTTAACAAGTACAAACTCTGCTGCCACTTATCACTCTAGCCTGTCAGTCAATTTGCCGCTTTCAATGGAGCCTCCCATGCTCCCTCTCGTCGGCTTTCCCTCATACACACACCTCTCCAAGTAATCCGATCCCAACACGGGCTCCTCCGCTTCACGTCTCTCTGTGTTGTGGGCAAATCTTCTTCCACTGGGTGCGAGCCTGGCTTCGGGGCTACCATCTGGAGCCCTCTTCCTCTGCTGGCATCCCGGGGAGGGGGGTTCCCTTTGCAAATCCAGCCGATCGCACTTCAGCAGGCTTGCTAGGGCTTCCCCTCTACTGTACCCTCCCCAACGAGGTGACCAGTGGCCAATTCACGCCGCTCAGCGGATAAAATCCAGCCAAGGAATCAGGAGCGATCCATCTTGGCTGTAGCCGCCAGTGACGTCACACCCGGAAGCCCTTTTTTTTTTTTACTTTTAAAAGCATTTTTTCTACAACCTCTTCTGATGAAAAAATGTTTTTAAAAGTAAAAAAAAAAGGCTCTGATGATCGTGCAGCTGAACTGGGATCGTCAGAGGCTTTTCAAAGCATTTTTTTCTGAAACTTCTTGGCCAAAGAGGTGGTAAAAAAATGCTTTGAAAAGTCTCTGACAATCCCAGCTGAGCTGCCTGATCGTCAGAGAGGCATTTTGTAAAAATGCTTTGAAAAGCATTTAAATTTTAAAAACTTTTTATTAAAAAAACAAAACAAAAAAGGTAGGTGTGTCTTATACTCCGGTGTGTCTTATACTCTGAAAAATGTGGTATATAATAGAATAAAAGCAATGACCAGATGGAAAGATTAGAGGTTGAAAGATAGTATTACTATGTATGCTCAAATAATATTGTGATTGGCATTAGAATGGCACATTGAAATTCTGAACAACTAAATAATGAAGGATTATATTTTAATACAAACGTGTATTAACACTAAGATTACAAAAGTTTGACTAATGTAATAAATATTATTAATGTTATTATTGTTATTTGTATCAAAATAAACGATACCCAGATGCCACACTGTTCATGTATTGATGTTGATGAATATTTAAAATAAAATAAAGACAAAAAATAGAGACAAAAAAGAAACCAGGTCTTGTGCTATGTAGGGCTTTAGTAATGACCGGCACCTTGAATTGCATCAAGAAGCAAACTGACAACCAATGCAGTTTACAAAGCAGAGTGTTACATGGGCATACCAGGGAATATCCATCACTGATGCATCCTGGACCATTTGAAACTGCTGGGTAGTATTTCAGGATAACCCCATGTAGAGTGCTTTGCATTACTTGATTTATGGTCAGAATTAATACCAGAATTTTGGTTGCCAATATGGTTCTTAAGTGAGTCATACCAATTTTATGACCTTTTTGTCATGGTTTTTAAGCAAATCATTGCAATTAAGTGAATCATGTAGTCATTAAGCAAATTTGGCTTCCTCCATTGACTTTGCTTGTTGTAAGCCAGCTGGGAAGTTTTGCAAATGGCAATCATGTGACTCCAAGTTTTTGCACCCCTTGTAAATATTTTCGGGCTGCCATATGTCCAAATTTTGACCACATGATCATTGGTATGCTGTGATGCTCATAAGGGCAAAGAACAGTTGTTAGTTACTTTTTTGAATTCTGTTGTAACTTTGAATGGTCAAAAAGAATGGTTGTAAATTGTACTCAAGCCATGAGACGTTCAAGACAATTGTGACTGTCTGAAAGGCTCCTCTATCAAAGAAAGAATGCAACTAGTGTATCTGATGAAGCTGTGTAAAGGCCTTTCTTTGTACATTTGTTGATTTACATTTGACAAAATTGAATTATGGAATATTTGTTACAAGAATAAAATTGAAAATTGGTTAATGAATAAGATTGGTATATGATAGAAGTATAGAATGTATGGAATTAAATTTAGCAAATGGTTCAACATTGAGCAGCAAGAGAAAACTATACAATCTCCCCTTAGTTGTTTACTGAATTTATACATGTATAGGGAATAGAGTAGAGTTATGTTAGTTAGTGTATATAGTATATAGCCGTGATGGTGAACCTATGGCATGCGTGCCACAGGTGGCACGCAGCGCCCTCTCTGTGGGCACATGAGCCTTCGCCCCAGTTCAGCTCCGCCACGCATGTGCGCACCACACATGTGTGCACGCCTCCCACCGGCCAGCTGGTCATTGGGTCTCTGCCATGCATACGTGGGGCTGTGTGTGCATGTGTGGGGCTATGCGCACAGGCAGGGTGCAGGGTGTGTGCATTGCATTTTGGAGGTTCGGGTGTGCTTTGGGCATTCAGGCCATCACTGGTATATATAGTGGTATACCAGTGATGTATATATATACCAGTATATATATATACTGTATATATTATTTCCTGGGGAATATTATTCAAGGCTGGCGAAGCCTCAATAAAGATTTCAAGCCCTCATGGTATGTGCATGTGTGAGTAGGACAGAACACTCCCAAATATCTTGATCTTAAGCCCTCTCAAATAATGCCACAAACATATGATTTCTTTTCATTTTTTTGTATCAGCTCACAAAATTACCAACAACATATCCCTTTTGTAAATCCCATATAAAAAAGTTGTACGATCTACTCCTCTGGTCTATTATTCACATGTCCCTTTATATTATTTAAACATCAGCCAGCTTTGTTTGTTTGTCAGTTCAGTTTACTTTGTTCCATACCTTTCTTACAGGCTGTGATTTTTAAATCCACATTTAAGTCAATTTCATTCTTGTCAGTTGGAACTTGTTTCTTTTCCATAGTAACATCTAGTTTTTCAATAATGTCAGAAATCTTTAAAAGTATTTTCTGAATCATTTTTTCACACATGTCCATGTGTGAAAAATATAAATATCCAGTTTCTTATCAGAAGAGATTTATAATTAATTTCAAACATTTATTCAAAATGTATCTGAACCCTTAGTCCATTTTTAACTTCTAAAAGCAAATTTTAAACACAATTTTTAATGAAATAATATTTTTTCAAATCATATTTAAAACTTTCATTGAGGAGACTCAGCCACTGATTACTGTAGAAACTTGCCAATCTGAAGGGTAAGAAACAACTTTTTCTCCTTAAAAGGCTGCATTATGATTGAACTTAGATGGTATCCTGCAACTTCTAGCCATTCAAATCATAAGCTGATTATAAAACAGTTACTTCAGCCTACTCATGAGGAGCAGCTGCCTGGGAGTACACATGGGTTGTCTCACAATCTCTCCTTTTCCTGGAGAGATTTCACTGGTTAGGATCCAGCATCCATTATCTCCACCCATCCCTTATTGGCAAGACATCTACTGTAGCTTGCTATAATGCTCACTGATCGCATAATTGACCAAAAAAATAAATAAATAAACCTCTTGCAATGGAATTGAATACTAAATAATTTTTTATTTTCTTATATTTGGTTACTATTCTATAAACAGTTTCTTGTCTATAGGCTAAAGACACACTATGCATTGTATGAGCCTATGTTAAGACAGCTGAATGAAAAGTATGAGATTCTACTACGAGAGAAAATGCTTACAAGTTTGGAACGAGACAAAGTTGTTGGGCAGGTAAAGCTTACAGCAATTTTAACTTATATTTTTATGGAAACCATTTAAAATATTATATTATTTAATTTAATGTTTTAGGTAAAGTTTTATTCTGTGCCATTCCTCAGAATTCAAGATGGGTCAAAGATACAAACCAAAGTTAAACAAATGCACATCAAAGAGTTTGTTTGTGGAACCTGGCATTAAATATTCCAAGAATACACATCTTCTTTCTTTTAAATAGTGAGGTTTTTGCTTTCTCTAAAAATAGTATGATTTGGGGAAGGAGAAGAAAACCATTTGAAATACACTAATGGCCCTTTGTTTACAATTGTAGCCTCCCAGACCTTTATTTCTTAGTGTGAAATGAAATTTTATAACTTGACATTGTAAAGCAGAATTTTCATTAAAGGTAACAGTAAAAAGCAATTATTTCTTTCTTGGGTAGAACCAGGGGTGAAATCTACTTTCCTTCCCTACCGGTTCGGAAGTGCACGTGCTGCGCGCATGCATCACATGCAATTTTGGACCCTCTGCGCATGCGCAGAGGGTAAAAAACAGGTTACTTCCTGGTTAAAACCAGGAAGTAATGACGTCTGGGTGGGTGGGTGGAGCCTCGCGCTGCCGCCACTACTGGTTCTCCAAACCACCTGCCACCGCTGCTACCAGTTCGTCTGAACCGGTGCAAACCGGTAGCATTTCATCCCTGGATAGAACATACACATTTCTTTTCATATCTTAGTTCTTAGCATCACAACATGCATAGCTATCAACCTGTATTATTATAGTGTGCTTATATGTGTGTATATGTATATGAAAACACATGGAAATTATGTATTCACAAGCAGTGAGCACCCCTGTGCATGCAGCTCCACTCACATAAGTAGCAGTTGGTTGCTCTTGCATTGCTCGCACAAATGGAACTGTGCACATGCATGTAGGTGGGCCTGCCACTCACGTGGAACCATCCCCTCTCCTCCCTCCGGAACGCCAAGCTGGAAAGGTTGGGAACCACTGACCTAGAAGAGGGGATTTACTGGACAATCATTTGTCTGGATTGGAATCAGGACTCCTGCCTTGGGCTGGCGGGTTTGATTAGAGGCTCCCAAGGGACCTTCCAGCCCTATGATTCTATTTCTATTTAGTCATGTATGCAATTCTCCAGTTTTCTTTGAAGTAATACATAAGAATTCAGTCACTATCACCTAGTTGCCTCAGTATCCTAAGATGCAGTTCAACTGGTTCTCTGAGTTAACATTTCAACTCTTTTCAAGGATGTCCTTAAACTCTTTAAAGGATGTCACACAGAAGATGCTCTTTATAATCTGAACATTATGATATAGAATATAGAATAATCTATAGAATAAATCAGTAAAGATGTTTTGACTAAGTGTTAGAAGAAGCTTGTAACAGAATAGTTTGACAATGAAGCCAATTACAGATGGAGGAGATGATCTCCTATTTGCTGAATATCCAACAAAGGCTGGACAACCATGTATTGTTAATTCTTTAAACTGGATTCCTGTATTGATCAAAGGATTGTATTTAATGACTAAACAGCCTTTTCAATTTTGTAATTGTTTTTCCAATGCTGAACAGACATAGCATTGAAATTGTTTTTCAATGCTGATCAGACATAGCTCCTTTGCAGTTGAGATTGGGCAGGCAGAAACAATTTCTGTTCAATAAAGACAGGTCTCCAAGCTGCTCAGATGCATAAGCATGGCAAAGTGGAAAGAATTATAGGTTCCATTATGGCTTTTTGATTCCAGGAAGATTATCATATTTGTCCACTGTGCATCTTAGGGTTTAGTTTAAGATGCAGGTTTGAGTGACAAATTCTTTTTGCATGAAAGATGATGATGAGAAGCAGAAATTGTTACCATGTCTTCCTTTCTGTGCCACGGGACAATTTTTAATCTTGATTGATTTTCTGAAGTATTAAGATATTATATATAATCTGATATAATTAGTATTCTGAGATTCTCAACTATATTGAAATATTTTATACTTAATGTCATATATTATTTCTGATTTTCTAAAGGTTCTTGATAGATTTTCTTTCATTGTTCAGATTACTGGCTTGCAAGCGACTTTACAAAGTTTGGAATCTGGAAGCAACATTCACATTCCTGTGATGAAAGGTAAATATTTAGCTATGAACCAAAAGTAAAAGCTTAGGAGATAATGCTTGCATCTCATGGTATTATGCACATTTCTAGAAATTTAATATTTATCTACATATTAAATTTGTACACTATTTAAATAATCTACAATGTACACAGACTGAAATTGTCTAAAACTAATGCTGTTTTATACTAAATTATGCAGAAAATCTCAATGAATAAGCTATGGGCATTGGGATCCCCAGCATCTACTGTATGTCTACATTTTTTGTAAAGAAAAAGAAAAAGAATTGGTTGAGAGCTGTGCATGATTAGAAACTCCTGAACTCTATATCTGTTAGGTTAGACCAGGGGTGGGCAGACAGCCAAGCTGGCTCAGGAATTCTGGGAGTTGAAGTCCACAGGTTGTTTAAGAGCCATATTTGCCCACCCCTGAGTTAGACTATCACCCAATACCTCTTATTTTAGATCTGCTGAGTTATCTTCAAAAGATATTGTGTTTTTGCTATATATCCTAAGAAGAATGGATCTGAGTAATAGACATCCATAAATATTTAATAGCTTTTGACATCCACAGTAATACCCTATGGACTGGTTAATTACTCTGAGATTTTCTCCAGATTTCCAATATTTTAGATAAATGTATAGCTGTACTAGGATGTTGTCCTGCCTTTTTTCAGTAGATACATCCTTACGTGAAATTCACATCAGAAATGTATTAATTTTTTTTCACATACCCAGTCTTTTTTTTTGCTAAATTGGAAAAATGCCTGTTGGAGCCCAATAATCCAAATAATCCATGTAACCATTTGGATTATTTGGATTATTGGATCTCTGCAGAATAAGTACAGATTAATCCCACTAAAGTGCAGTATGTTTTCACATGAGAAACATCTAAAATGTGAAAAATATACATTGTTTGGAGAACCTTGCATTTTTAAATAAAAGATTCATCCCTAATTTTCCAAGGTGCACAAGACAGCTCAGTAAACTTCTGATAAAAGGGAACCAATTTAAATGATTCCCTGAAGAGCAAGCCATCTTTGAGGGCTTGAAGGATTTCTTTTAATCTCAGCTGCTATTTAGACATCTGGATTCCAGTTGCCTCTTTGTTGTGTAAATTAATGCCTTGACCTTGCTTTGGAACTGTTTTCCCTCAGGCTTTGGCAAAGAGAGGAGGAACCTCTTGTCTTGTGCATTTTATTCTAATCTTTTTTTCCCAGCTGAAAGTAACAATAATTTCAATAGAGAATTGCTAGCCATAAAAGCAACATTGAATGATGGAGGCATTTCTTGAAGGGAGCAACCAATAAATACACAAATTTACAAGAATTGGGAGCATTGCAAAAGGTGTGAACCCTAACTTCACATCAGATCAGTTTCCTGTTTCTCTTTTTATATCTTCTATACTTCCTAGTTCCCCTCAAATTTGTCAGATGCACTCTCACACAACCTTGAATGCAATATTCTAAGGCAACCCCCTTTCTTGAAACTGACCAATTTTACTCTCACCCCAGAAAGAACACTTCTGAGAAGTCAGGGATGGGGAGGCAGGCAGTAGATCTTTTACACTGGATTTGTTTGCAATAACAACTGGATCCATATGTCAGGGCTCAGAAGAACGACCTCCATTGAACCCAAAATACAGATTCTTTTTCTTTCACTGTGGCTGAAGGATAATTCTTTCATAATAGTAATTTATATGTTCCTCCTCTTCTCAGGGTGTTCCTTGGAGGTCTTCTGGTCCAACCCCCTGCCCAAGCCAGGAATCCTTATACCATCCCAGACAAATGGTTGCCCATTCTTTTCTTGAAAACCACCAGCAATTGAGCACCCACAACTCTAGGAGGCAAGGTGTTCCTTTGATTAATCATTCTGACTATCAGGAAATTCCTCCTTATTTCCAGGTTGGATCTTCCTCTGACAAGCTTCCGCCTATTACTTTTTGTCCTGCCCTCAGGTGCTATGGAGTATAAATCAATGCTCTTTTCCATGTGACAGCCCTTCAAATATCATGTTTCCCTTTTATTAGGTTAAACATACCTAGTTCCCTTAACTGTTCATCCTGTTGGAAGAAATGTCCATCGGGGTTCAGTTCCAAGTGGGGAAAACGACACTGGAAACATGGAGACTGCTTGGAAACATGGTTTAATGGTGGACAGGAATCACATGGCTTGAGTTCCTGAGCAGAATCACAGGGGCATGTGTGAGCATGCCCCTGTTCCTGAGCAGAAAAAGGGGCAAGATGCTAGGAATGCCTTGTTTTTTGGGTTTTTTTTAAAATTATTTTTATTCAACATTTACATCTTTAAAATCTTAGTTACACTTTTGCAGCTTCCCAATACCGGCATTTTTAGTAATATCCAATTTATCTTTCAGCCAACTATATACATACACATTTTGTTTGTTACATACTTATTCATATAATCAATACGTTATATATACATACCTACTACCACTGGTGAAATGCTTTCGGTTCAGACCGGATCACACCGATTCAGAGAACCGGTAGCAAAAATCCCTGCGCGCCCCCACCCCCATGCCCAGCTGAGCCGCACGATCATCCGAGGCTTTTTTTTTTTTACTTTTAAAAGCATTTTTCTACAACTTCTTCCACCGAAAAAATGCTTTTAAAAGTAAAAAAAAAAAAGCCTCTGATGATTGCGCAGCTCAGCTGGGATCGTCAGAGGCTTTTCAAAGCATTTTTTTCTGCAACCTCTTCAGCGGAAGTGGTGGTAAAAGAAATGCTTTGAAAAGCCTCTGCTTTTTTTCAGGCAACACAGCTGGGATTGTCAGAGAGGCTTTTAAAGCATTTTTTTCTGCAACCTCTTCAGCGGAAGAGGTGGTAAAAAAAATGCTTTGAAAAGCCTCTGATGATCCCAGCTGTGTTGCCTGATCGGCAGAGGCTTTTCAAAGCATTTTTTTGCATTTGCAGAAAAAATGCTTTGAAAAGTTAAAAAAAAAAAGTTGGCCACGCCCACCCAGTCACATTACACCCCCCCACCAAGCCACGCCCACAGAACCAGTAGTAACAAATTTTACATTTCACCCCTGCCTACTACACATTAAATATAACATTCCATTATAATATCTTCTCTTATACTATACACTATCCATTAATTTTAGATTCCTTTTCCAGCCAATCATACCATCTGTTCCATGTTTCATAATAAATCATTTCCTCTCTGTCCTTAAATTCCATTGTTAATTTATCTGATTCTGCACATTCCAGCACCTTTTTTATAATCATCATGTTTGCTGGAGCATGTTATTGTTTTCAGTTTTGGGCAAATGAGATTCTGGCAGCCGTAATTATGTGGAGTATGAGGTATTGAATTTCTTTACTCATTTTTTCTTTTATAATCCGTAACAAAAGTAATTCAGGTTTCATATCAATTTTTTCCCCAGTCATTTCCTCCAACCATTTTTTAATTTTTAACCAGTAGTCTCTTGCTTTGAAACATGTCTACCACATGTGATAGTATGTCCCTTATGGATGATGACATTTCCAACAGTGCAGTAGATTGTTTAAAAACATCTTGGCCAATCTCGCCGGGAGTAAATGCCACCTATAAAACATTTTATAAATATTTTCTTTATAGGCGGCCGACAACGTCATTTTATAATTTGTTCCCCATATTTTCCCCCAGTACTCTAATTCTATGTTGAATCCAAAATTTTTCATCCAAATTATCATTGTTTCCTTCCCTGTTTCCTCCTTCATTTTGAATTTGAGGAGGCAGTTATATATTTTGGTGATTATCTTTTCATCTGTACCTGTTAATATTTTATCCATTTCTTTTTTTATTATTTTTTAAGACAAACAAACATTTAGTACATCATTCATTTCTTCCATGTGACATTTCGATGTTATCTTCAAAAGTTTCTTCTCTTCTCTACCTCCTTTACAAAGATTTTCCACTAATATATTATTCTAACTACAACCAATTTTTTACAATCTCTTTTAAAAACTTATTTGTAACTCTTTTCTAATCAATAGTAAAATTTGTTCCATATCTTAAAATATTCTGTATCTTCTCTTTCCCTTATCATCATAGTTAATCTATTCATTTCTGCACAATCTAAGATTTTTTTAATTACTTCTCCCTCCGAAGGTATATTCTCTGCTTTCCACTTTTGTGCATAAACAATCCTTGCTGCTGTTATTTCATGTATAATCAAATATATATTATTTTTACTAGTTTTCTCTGGTAAGATACCCAATAGGAATAGCTCTGGTTTTAAATCTACACGTTGTTGTATCATTTCCTCCATCCATAACTTAATTTTATTCCAATAGTTTTTCGCTTCAGGACATGTCCACCACATATGGTAATATGAACCTGGTAACTGGTGACATTTCCAACATTTAGCTGATTTATCTTTAAACATTTTTGCCAGTTTCTCAGGGGGCATATGCCATCTATAAAACATTTTATATAGATTTTCCTTATATGCAGTGGACATTGTTAATTCATAATTTCTTTCCCATAATTGTTGCCATTTATCCAATTCAATTGAATATCCAAAGTTTTTTGCCCAGGCTATCATTGTTTCTTTTACTTGTTCTTCGTCTAGTTCTATATTTAGTAAAAAAATTGTAACATTTTTAAATTAGTTTATCCTCTGTTCCCGTATCTTATCAAGCTCAGTCTTCTCTAAATAAAAACCCTGTAATTTAACATCTTTTTCATATCTTGTTTGTATGTGCACATACATATACCAATCCATTTCAATTCCCTGTTCTTCCAGTTCATGTTTCCTTTTCAAGTCCGCCTTATCTGTTAACAAATCTTTATATCTAACAATATTTCCAAGATTAAAAACGTTTGGGTGAATTAACTCTTCCATTGTTGATAATCATATTGGTATTTTCACATAATATTTGTCTCTAACTTTTTCCCATACCAATAATAATGCATTTCTTATATAATGTCTTTGAAAGTACTGTGTATCTTACTTCTACTATACCATAAAAAAGCATTACAACCCTGTTGTAAATCATACCCTTCCAATGT